TTGTGGTAAGACATTTTTGGGCATTGTTTGAAATAACAAAGAAGAAAAAATAGTCCATTCCTTGAAGCTCCCTAGGGGCTGAGGCTTATAATTTATAGAAATTGGAAACAGCATCTTGAGAATTATCCAGATAGGCTTCTAGTTCCCAAGTTCTGTCCTCATCTTCATAGACCTTTTAGTGGACCAGAAATTCTGATTTTCTACACTTTAAGTGTGCATCTACTACTATCTCAACTTCAATCCTTGTGGCCTTCCTGTCTCGCTTCTACAGGTCTTGGTCTGCCCATTCATTGACCCAACAATGTTCCTTTATGGGGTTTCAGATTGCTACCCCGTGATAGAAAGTGCTGGGATGGGGTTGGGCATGTTTACCACAATTAACTTGGTGCTATCATAAGGGGTTTATCCACTCCTACATTCACCCTCTTGTGTGTCTTTTTTGTGCACCAGAGTATACAAACTTTGGTTGTAACAGCTAAGGTATTCAGCCAATGGTCCTGTTCTTCTGTTTCTAATTGGTGCCCTTGGTTTTGGTTTTGGGGAGCCTGTCCCCCAGTTGTGCAGTCCTGGACTATGTGCATTTCCTTGCTGCATTGGTAGTAAGAGCCCTTAAATCTGCACTTTTGTCCCTCTTAGACCACACCAAGTTGCAGCATGTACAGCCTGAACCCTGTCTGTTTTTGTGAGTTATGTGCATTTGGTAACCCAAGGCGACTCTGGAAATAGTTGTTTTTGTTAGTGGACCTGCCACCAAATTGCATTTGATAGAGCCCTACCGCTTTCTCAAACTGCTTCTGCTACAGCTATCAGCTCCGACTCTCATTTTTCTTGCAGGTAGAGTTGTTGAGCAATTGCTAGAGCTACATTTTTTTCCCAAAACCTCTACTGCATGTTTGTTCCCAAGCCCTCCTTGTGGAAAGAGCTAGGAACTGAGTAACAAAGCTGTACATCTTCATGTTTCCTTGTCTGAAGGAATAAATTTTCTGGTGTGCCCAGTCACATTCGGCCTCCAATTTAAAGTATCTGACAATCCCTGACTTGAGATTGTCCCAGGTTGGCCAGTTGCCTGACTGGTAACACTCCAGGAGTCTGACTTGGGCATATTGACCTGCCACTGGTCCCTTTAGTCTTGACAGTACTGCTGTCACAACTTCAAAATTGTCTGTGGTAAACCCAAAGTTAGGAGAGCGTTGGTTTGATAATATTCAACGGGAGGACTCACTGAGGAGCCTCTATCTATTGCAAGGGTATTTATACCTAAATACATGTGGTACTGTTTAATTTTTATAAATATAGGTAATTATTTTGTAGTGTTGTATTATATTATATATAATGTCATTGCTGAGTAAGTAAATGTATCATGTCATAGCACTTGACCAGTCACACATTGTGTTCAATTGAGAACTTCTGGGAAGTGTCTAGCCACTTGCTGAGAGCTAACAGGGACAAAACTAGAGTCCAGTATGAGTAACTATATTATCAGAGAGTACAGAATGTGTACAGTACCTAGAGTCCAGTATGAGTAACTAAAGAATAGGAATACTGGACTCTGCAATACTAGTCCGAAGTTTTGTAAACAAAGGTAAACAAATCAGCCACAAAGGCAAAATTATAGAATGCTCAGTGAATACTGAACAACAGAGCAAAAAGAATAAAGAGGAAAGTGATTTAGAAAGAAGGGAAAATAAATAGCACAGCTAGGTGCAGAATCACCAAAACTAACACATTGTGTCCAGACACCAATCATGTGATGTATTATGTGATTAGTCACATGACTTCCAAAAGTAAAAGTCTGAAAAATAAAATAAAATGAATCAGGAAAAATAAAACTGAAAATAAATGAGAAAATACTGTCATAACATCCGCACTCACAGTGTATCTCTGTCCTCCCAACTCTGACAACTTCACAGGTCACAATCTGACAGATTTTTTCCTTGGGTAAGCAGACTGTGATAGTTCACAAATTGAATTTGCCCAGTTTTCCACAAATTGATCCAAGGACTGGTGCTAAAGCCAGGGATATTGGTAAAGTTGAAAAGTGGGACTTGAAGGCATTCTGCAAACCAGTTTAATCCACCTGTTGATTAAATTGTTGATCCTGAATATGCCATGTAATCTGAATGCCACATGAGGGATTAGTGAATGGTGTAAATATTTTTTCAGGGCTTATAACTGTAGGTGAGGGCCCAAAAATAGTTAGATACCGTGGTGCATGATTATCATTGCTATTTTTTGTGAATGTTGGAGTATCACAAAAACTATTAAGGGAAGAAAAGCTACCTCGGTTGGAGGACAGCTGTGAGGGATATATATGAAAGAGACTTATGAAATTTAGTTTAGCTGTGAGCATTGGGCACTTATCCTCCACTACAGGATCTGCATGAGGAATAGAAGGGTTTTTATCAAGTACAACTTTAAGTTCTACAGGAGAACCCCTTTGCTTTACAGCTGGGGGTTAATAGTTGATATACCACTTTGGTAAACAAATAGCTCTGTGAATATATTGTGAATAATTCTTAACCTGGTGTGTATACAGGTCACTGTCCTGCATAACAATTTTAAACCTCTTTTTATCTGTTTTGCCCTCTTGCGAGCTTTTTTCTCCTCTTTATCTCTTGCATACCTTCAGTCAATAATATTTTACATGATATTTTTTGATGCCTAGCATTGACTAACATATACATTAACCTTCTTTTGCCTGTCAAATGGCTTCTTACAGCCAAAAAAGGCAGGCATAACTGGCTAAAATAATATATTAAGTACACTTGATTAATATCATAGTCTATTACCAGAAAGACTGAGAATAATATTTATTACAGTTCTTATCATCGCATCAGTCAAGATGAAAACAAAACAATGGCTAAGAATGTTGTCACATAAATGCAGGTGTCTGTAAATGAACCGTCATTTACTAATACATGCACCATTTTCTACAGGGACCACAAGGAATGAGAGTGTGCTTGACTAAACTATCACAACATCTTGCCCTCATTCCAGGTTTTTATCAGCTCGTCACTAATAACAATACAAAGAAGCTTGAATTTGTCTTGAAATGGTATATCAACAATTTCTTGGATGCATATAGTCACATATTTTATTACTGATGAAGAGCTTTTTTAGAGGCTACTATTTCATTTGTGTAAGTGTCTCCGGTGTTTTTTTATACATATTAATGACAAGACATTTGCATTAGAGCTACCATCACATATTTATAGGCCTTAGTAGTGCACACAGAAAAATGGGGGTCAAAGAAGCAGAGTACACATGCTCACAATGCTAAAATACCTAGCAAGGCAAGAGTCACTCCCCAGACCATTTCATATGCAGGACAAATAAGCAATGTCTATCAATTGAGCTACATGTAGACATTATTATAGCTGCTCACACAGTGATTGAATCAGATGCAAACAGCAGTCCTCTGTCCAGCAAAGATAAGGTCTCAGCACCAATAAAACTATCAAAGAGGGGAAAAGAAAAAGCAACACATCCCATTTTGAAGCAGAGGACTTCACACAGGAGGAAATGGGCCCTTACATTGATCTCTTGGCCAGTTTGATGAAAACATTTTCTCTTGTCCCTTTTTCTTGATATTTTTATCACATGTCTATTTTCTATTTTCTAATCTCTTATCATGTTTATTACGGCACTACTATGTATTTTAATAACCTGCATTTTATGTATGCTATAGTTGTTACAATAACACAAATTTTAGCCACATCACTTTTAATCTCCTATGTAACTTATGCTATGTGGCACTTTCCTTTTATTTTCAAACTCTACTTGTACTTTCACTTTCTCGTGCTATGCAGCTTCCTTATACTTTTAGTGACAACTCTTTTATGTGGTGGAGCTAGTCACAAGGGATGCAACCTATGATATCATCAGCCACCACATTTATCAACTGTATAGTATGAATATCCTGTAGTAGTATACTGTTACAATTGACACACCAGCACCTACTTACACTTTACTTTTACTGTACTTTTCCTTTACATTTTCTAAGTCACATGATTGATCATGTGACCATTTGTTTTACTTTATTTTTTGGACTTTTCATAGTTACATGACCGATTATGTGACACATCACCTAACCAGTGTCTAGATTCAACATGTAACTGGTCATATGCTGGACATTGGACTTTAAACTTTACTTACCAACTGTATAGTGCCTCATGTATTGTGGTATATATACTGGAGCAATAAATGGGGAAGGACTCAGCAAGTCCTCTTTGTATACCAACATTAGTATGACAACCTCCTTCCCTTGATGAGTTGTGAGCTGTACACTTCATTTTTTTCCCACTGAGTTGTAGTTAATTATGCTCCAGTGCCCCAAGATAGAATCTTGTTGATGTTGTCACATATACCCCTACATATCAAGGAGACTCCTCAGTGAGTCCTTCTGTTGTCTACCAACAACTAACTTGATCCTACCCTAAGGGAGTCTACCAACTCAACTCCTTCACTCACTCATCTCTGTTTGTGTTAATTGTGCACTAAAGTATAAAAACTTTAGTTATTACACTAGAACTTGGTCTTACTACTCTCACGCACATTATACAAAGCTGGTACACAGGCTTAAGTGGCTATGCACCTCAGCATAACATGTTCTCAGTTTGAAAATCTTACTTGGTGATGCACCACTTGTTGGGTTTGGTGACAGACAGAAATACAATACCATAAGGTTGTTCCCCAAGTTCAAGGAAACAGACAATTGAATTTGGGTGCACAGACCTCAGTGCTAAGGGGACAGAGCTGGATATATGGTTGCTCTGAAGGGAAACTTGTACATGTCCCCCAGTGTTAAGGCAGCATTAGTTAGTGAAAAACCACTGGTGTTTATGAATCTTCGATAAATTTCTTCTTTTTTTTGTCTCTAACCAGGCCAAGCACCTACCTTTGCCAGTCTGGAGAAGGGTTGGCAGCTTAACAAGCAGACCACATAGCAAGTGGGGACCCCCAGTTACATTGTTTTTACTTTACCAAGAGAACAAGTCTCCATGTCAATGCAACCAGAACAGATTGACGTCAACACCATCCTTCACAGGATAAGGCAGCAAATCATGCAGTTGGTGGCAAAACTCAGCAAACTTCAGGCCAATCCCCCTGAACAAGTTGAACCAAAATTCAACAAAAAGGTTGAGATTGTCGCTCACCCCAGCACTTTTGATAAAAATAGGGCTAAAATGGTGAGTAAAGCTCCAAATATGGGTGAAGGCCAACTTCATGGCCTTCAAAAATAACTTCAATCTCTCAACTGCAGTTTTGCCAAGACTCAAACCAAAATTAAAACCATTTTCACGGATTCAAGCTATTTGAGCTAAAACCAGGGCAGGGGGCCCCTATGGATATTAGCATTATCCAAGAACAGATGCACAGATTCAAGGGAAACTGCTACATTTGCAGGCAAGAGGGACAGATGCCAAGACTGTAAAAACAGGGTGCAGGCCACCCAAAATCACAACAACCAATGGTGCCAGATGCACCAATTAGAAAATTAACAGCTGGATAGTCAGCTCAATGCAAGTGGCTGTATTACGCACAAATGTTCTTTTGGGTTGAATACCAGGGACACAGAGAACAAGTCACCACAAAAGCTATCCAACTAGGGGAGGTTAATTTAATATTAGGCTGAACCTGGTTATTTAAACACAATCCTGAGATCAACTGGCAGATAGTGGTGTCCCATTGTCACATTGTCCTTAGGAGTACAACAACCTGGGTAAGCTGAGTCATGTCCATCAAATTGAGACTAAAGAAAGGATAAACACTGATAGTAGGACAGCAAAGAATATGAGGAAGGGGCAGTGTGTGCCAAATATGGCTAATCTGGTGCCATAAACATAGGAGGAACTGTTGGGCTATGTGGTGCTACTATCAGAAAACCATATGCCAGTTTAGAATGGAGGAGCATAGGTGGAGTGAGATAACCAAAGGAAGTAGCAATGACTGGACTGAGGCAGGACAAAGCAGGACTTGCATGATGAGAAGTAATTGGGCCGCTGAAAACCTGCATATTTGCTATAAAATGTATGCATTGGATGTCTGAAATACAAACTTACAGGCTTAAATATATGCAGTCTAAATGTATGGTTGTCAATCTGAGACTGTCCCAGCACAGGTACTTTTAATTTTCCCATGATGGATACAGCAGCTTTGAGTTATTATTTTCTTAGGGGAAATACAGAGTTAACATATACTTGTGTTCACCAGCATTATTTAGTAGCTTTAATGATCAAGCAGATTATTTCTCATGTAAGCTGGCACGAGTCTTCTCCATGTCAGTTTTCATCAGAAGCACAGATATGCCTAAACAAGGTTTGCATAATCAACAGACTTTTTTGGCTATGTGCATAGTCACATGACTAGACCTACCCCAAATGCACCAGACATTCATCAGAAAATCAGTGAGAGTCCAACAAAACCATGTATACAGTTGTAAAGTGTTATTAACTCTGACATGTTTCAATAATATATCATTCTGATGGATTATAATGTAATGATTTATATTTACTAGGTGAGTTGGTGGAAGCCACAACATACATCACAATCATCACACCCAACAAAGTTGCAGCAGCAGTCTTTTGAGTGATCCTCTAGCATTGCAGATAATATGTCATAACCTCTGGGAGCCATGTCACAAATCACCAAATTCACCAGTCTGCTCTCGCTGGTCTTCAGCTTACCTCTAAAGTACACTATTGTCAGCATTATAAGACTTGTATGGTAGCCACTTTGATGTAACTGCTGGGATACTTGCAAGCTGCAATGTTTTTTCTCATGGTTTTGCATATGGGTCTTGTAGTACATCAGAATGGTGCTATATAGACAGAGTTGCTTACCAAAAGCTTAGAACATAGCCTGATTTCACACCTTCTCATAATACCAAATATTCTTATTCTTGTGGTAAGCTGACTCCAGAGTTTGATGCTACTTCTTAGCTACATTGTCATACAGATTATACATGTCAGTAACTTTCTTTATGCAACAGGCTGTGAAGTATGATAATGCAGTTTCAGCGAGATGATCCGCTGTGACAGGATTAGACATTGTGTATTGACTTTGATACTACTGATAGAAAACGGCCCCGTCATAATTTTGGTAGCAGCCAGTGACCCCGTGCGGCTTATAAGAATGGATCAATACATCAAATCAAAGACAAATTGAATGATTCACTCTAAGTTTGACCAATCCATCCCTGCTGGGCATTGAAGAGCCCCCATAAGCTCTTGATTAAATTTGCAGCCAGTCTTCACATTATAATGAATGTAAGGCAACTTGACCTTTAGGAGTGATCCAATTAATGACCGCGCCTTTAAGACCTTTTGTATTATCTGCCTTAGCCCCATTAGCACATTTTTGAATCTGTAAAACAACATTATTGTAAGAGTATGTTGTGGTAAGAAAAATGTCCATACCAAGTCAGCAATATGGATTATTTCTTCTCCAGAGGAATCTTCTCTCATCAAATCTTTCTCCAGCCTCAGATTAATATTAAGCAGCTCTAAAGATACAACTTGTTCTTTACGTTCCCTAGAAATTAAGGAGCGGATGAATAGAAATACAGAGAAAGAAGACAGTCTCATACTCAGATGTATAGCTCTCTTCAGGTTTGTCTGAAACCATAGGTTCAATATCATTTTCAATAAGGCTCTGGACATTACATAATGCATGTATTGCTTGCCCAAAAAGAAATCTATGATGGACGATAGGACCTTGGGTAGAACTGTACAGATAGTAAGTCAAACATTAGCAAGTACTTTGCCTGGTGAAGCACTGGTAGGATAGCTGCCAGCGTTGCTGCATCATACAAGTTAAACTCAGGTTACAGCCTTTTCCTGGGGCCCAGCTCCAAGGCAGAACTTTGGCCACACTTGTTGTTCTCCAAACTATGCTAGTATTCCCTATCACCTTTGTTGTCAGGCATAGATGCAAAAGGTGGAAAATCAATTGCACACAACTTTAGAGTACATTTTATACCTAATGTGCATTACAGTGACCATATAACACTTAGTACTGCACAAGCAGGGTATGTTTTCTTGAAGGACTTTTTGGGATGTAAAGGCTGTTTTTGAGTAAATGGTGTGGCCTAAAATTTTTATAAGAGCCGTAACTTGCCATGATGTGATGCTGACAGCAAGGTGATTATACGGTAGTTATATCAAATGCATAAAATAGGGGGGCCTACCCACGATGGGCAAGTTGACTTTTTGGTACTTGGTGGCTGTGAAGAAAGGCAGACCCAGCAAAACCCTGAGCAAAATACCAAAAAGAAAAATTGTAGTACCTGGGATAACAATAGCTTTTTGAGGTAATGAGGTCACACTGTTATTGAGAATACGTCTACCAAATATAATCAAGTTGACTTTTTGGTACTTGATGTAACGACCAAAGTTTTGATACTCTGGCGCACAACTCAGACAAAGCTATAAAGGTAGTGAGGGGAGTGGTTACCCTTAGAATAGGACCGAGTTAGTTGTGGGTAAACAACAGGAGGACTCGCTGGGAGTCTCCTTGATTTGTTGGGGTATATATACTACTACAGGTTGTTTGTACATGTGTACTATACAGTTGATGGAGGCAGTGGCTGATAATGTCATGGGGCACAGCCCGTGTGACCAGCTCCACTGTGTGAGATACTTGTATCTAAAAATAGAAAAGGCAGTTCAGCGTGAGAAGTGGAGTTTGAACAATAATGGAAAGCGCCGCATGGTACAGGGTGTGAAAACTACAAAAGAAAGTTGAAGAGGAGAATGAAATTTAAAGGTCCAAAAATTGTGTTACTATTGTTGGACACCGGATGCAACCGGTAAGAGATATGCACTTGGGCCTCCAGAGGCTCAACGATCACTGTACAGGTAGCTAGAAAATTGTCAGCTGTAGAATATAGTATAGAGAATATAATTGTGAAAGAATTTAGTGAATAGCTTATCTGTAGCAACAACAACAGACCTGACATTATGCTCTTGAACTCCAGAAGTGTGAATTTTGAGGGAAAGATGGCCAGATTTGACCAGATCTCGTGCTGGGAATATTGTAATATCTTTCTAGAAAACGTCAATAGGTAGGCCCCTACAATGCCAGATACTTACTGAGCTGATTAGGGCCTCAAAGCGTCTGGAGAAATGAAAACAATGATGGAGTTGTGACTAGGTGACCAAAACAGGCAATCACACACCAAGATAATCAATCAAGGACCGCTAGCTCCGCTTTGGTATGTACCGCACATACCACCAGCATCAGGACTTGGTGTGACCTGGCAGAATTTGACTTGTAAGCTCCGCCTGATTTGGTCTGTGAGTGCCGCTGTAACCCAGTGTGACCAGAAATTGCAGAACCATTCCAAAACATGTGTCGTCTTTTTGATTTTGATCCGCTGCTCCAATGCTTCAAGTTCTTGCTTATTTTTCTACATAGGCAGCTAGAACACTAAAAATTATATCTCCTGGTCAAGTTCCAACAGTCTAAAGCTCAAAGACTGGTGAGTTATTCAGCTTCTCCCCAGACCAATTGCACCTATTGTCCAACAATAGTATTGTAACAGTTGAAGGCTGTTCAAGCTGAAAAGAAAATAGAACCCAGCACACATACTGGCACCTAAATTATGAATGGCTGGATCCTCAAGGAATCACTTCCTGAAATAAAAATCCATTTGTGAGTCCTCGGGCATAAATACTAGTGCAATGCTGCAGTCATTAGCCTGAGCTCCTAGTAGCTTCAAGTTCTTGTACAATTTCTTCCAGTTCACAGGGCAGCCATGTCAGATCTTAAACAAGTACCACAAATATCTATGAAACGCACCCGCTCTTCCGAGTTATTAACTCTTCATCTCAATAACACTGCCAGTGGAGTGATTAACAATAAGGTCAGAGGGCAGGAAATAACTGTAAGGTGTGTAACAGAGTACCTCTTTGGTTTTTTTTACAGAGCTTGAACTGCTGAATAGGATGAGGGACAATCCCAAAAATTGAAGGGCTGGGTTTAATCTCAAGATAGGGAAGACTTGGAACTTCAAGGATAAACGGGTAAACCTACCTGAAGAAGAAAATTGTGTTCCAGGTTCACATTATCCGTCCAAGTCAGTTGAATCTGCTATGTGTAGGAATCAAAAGAAAAGGGACAAGCACTCCTTGAACTATGAATCACAGCAACTACAACTGAGTATCCTAGCCAACTGTAGAGTGACTTGTGTGCTGACTTTGGTTTGAATTGTCGACTTGAATGGCTGGTAGAACTTCATTATGGTGTGAATGCTCACTCAAAGCCCAATATCAAGGATAAAAGTGATGA